TGAAATTTAAATTATTTTCAGATCAATATAATACATTTTGATCAGTCTTATAGCTAATTAATAACATTCCTATTACAGGTGACCATGTGGCTGTGTATCCAATAAATGATTCAAATCTTGTGGATCGTCTTGGAGCATTAACTAATGCAGATCTGGATGAAATATTCTCACTGATAAATACTGACCAAGAAAGCAGCAAAAAGAATCCATTCCCTTGTCCTACATCTTACCGTACTGCTTTGTCACATTATTTAGAAATTACAGCATTACCACGCACTCATATACTGAGAGAACTTGCGGAGTACTGTACTGATGAGGAAGTTAGTAGTTTTAAATATTATAACGACGAAATTAAAAATTCATGGGCAAAAGAAATTTTAACTAAAAACTTGTTGATTTATAGCAAAATAATTTATTTTGAAACAAAACATAATTTGATTCATTTCACAGGACAAGAAGAAACTTCTACTTATGGCTACCAACTCCCAAGAGGGCAAGGCTCTGTTCCAGTCATTTATAACAGATGCTTGTAGAAATATTGTGCACATTTTAGAAGATGTACCATCGTGTAAACCTCCCCTAGATCATCTATGTGAATTATTACCTCGTTTGCAACCTAGATACTATTCAATTTCATCAAGTCCTAAGGTATAATGATTTTATATTAGCTGAAATATCTCATCAACAAGCAATGAATGAATAAATAAATAATAATAATATTTAAACATTTCAGCTACACCCTGAGACTGTTCACATAACTGCAGTGGTTGTGGAGTACAAAACATCAACGGGTCGCGTCAACAAAGGCGTGGCCACAACTTGGTTGGCCAAACATAAACCTGAAGAAGGAAAGCCTTTGCCACGTGTCCCTGTGTACATAAGGAAGTCCCAATTCAGGTCTGAACCACCTTATATTGCACACACAGAAATGTATCTGATTCTGCAGTTAATTATACTTAATAGAAGCTGAAGTGTTTGTTTGGTAGAACGCGCTAATTTCAGGAACTACTGATCCGATTTGAAAATTCTTTTTGTGTTGGATAGCCCATTTATTGATGAAGACAAGGGCGGAGAAGTAAAGAAAAATGTTGCAAAAACGGGAAATATTATTCAAACTATTTTCACTCGTACAAAGTCGCGGGCACAGCTAGTTTATTAATAAAAAGAGTCGTCATTTTCTACTTTTTTTTGTGAGATTAGCAATCAAACTTCTTGCCATTTATGAATCTATAGTAACAATTATTGTTATTTTTTATAGGTTGCCACTTCAAACACAGACTCCTATTATAATGGTGGGCCCGGGAACAGGGCTGGCACCTTTCCGCGGGTTTCTTCAGGAGCGAGCTCACGCTCGCGCCAATGGCAAAGAAGTCGGCGAAAATATACTATACTTTGGATGTAGACATCGCAACCAAGATTACATTTACCAAAACGTAAGATTTATAACATTCGATTTCTCGTAACATAAAACCCATATTGACAGTGAGACAAGCTTCACTCCTTCAAGGCCCCCATTTAAATAATGCAGCGCAATTCGACTCTATTTATAGAGCGTCATGACCAAATTGTTGAGTCGCCATCATTACCGTAATTTACTTAATTACCTACTTTTATACTGGTATGTTGCAGTCCTATTCAAACATCTTTAATTATGCAATGTTTGTTTTCAGGAACTCGAGGACTATGAGAAGAATGGTGACGTTATACTTAATGTCGCCTTCTCTCGCGACCAAGAACATAAAGTGTATGTAACTCATCTTTTGGAGAAAAATATTGATAAAATTTGGGATATTCTTGGAAATCGCAATGGTCACTTCTATGTTTGTGGGTGAGTTATGGCATTGATTTATTATAATATTAATTTCGTCCGATAACAAAAGATAACTTATTCAATTTTGTACCATGTGTCGACACTGGTTTCATAAAGTCGAATGGTGAAAGTAATGTACATATAGCTACTTAATTTTTGATGTACATAATTTCGGAATTCATGTTGAAAATATTTTCCCAGGGATGCTAAGAACATGGCAGTTGACGTGAGGAATATCGTCCTGAAGGCTGTTCAAGAGAAGGGAGGCCGCACAGAAGCAGAGGCTGTGCAATTCCTAAAGAAACTTGACTCTATGAAGAAATATTCATCTGATGTTTGGAGTTAAGATTTTGTATCGTCTTATCATTAGATAATTACAACTACTGTAGGCAATTGTTCATTTTAATATAGTTAAATAAAGACGTAATTTCCTTGTTGTGATAATATGCAAGCTATGGGGCACAAACAGTGAATGGCGGGTTTCGTACCATTGATTGGTAACATTTTTATATTTTAAACCTATTGATTAATTGTTTTCGTCGATTCAATTTGAATGAGTGTGGTTTGTGAAAACGTAAAGTTATTTGCCTTAATCAGTTTATCTAAACCGTTTAATAGATAGCATAAGTACATGATATGATTGCATTAGTCCAGTCAATGAATGCCTTAACGACGGTGTAGAGAGAAATCCGTGGAACACAATTTCTGACCTCGGGACTTTATTTAGCCTAGTTAGGTGGTGAACATAGCAAAAGTCCCCGCCCTTAGCCCTTGAGCCGGCAGGGAGAGGGGGGTTTAAAGGTACCACTTTTCGGTTTTTCGCTTAATCCTCGGAAACTATGCGTCCTAGTGACATGACTACTATGAACCAAAAAAAGCCTATTCAATTTGCTACAGGTGAGACCGTCAAGTTTTTCTATATCTTGTATAGTTTTTGCGGCATCTGCTCTAGAAGGTCTGTAAAATTGGAAATTTTATTGTTGTCTTACATGTTCCTTTCAGGAGAAAATCGACTAAATCAACATTGAGCAAACACTATAGACATGCGGGAGCATGTTAAGCCTAGTTCCATGGAGGGGACTGCACCGTGCGTATATTTAGACGAACCAATTAGAGCCACTTTTGACTCCTCATCATTCAAAAACTACTGTGCATTAACACTTCAAATTTGGCTCATGTATTGAGACTTGCAAGATGTACATCAGCTTCAAATTTCATAAATATACCTCAAACGGTTATTTAGGTATTGACGTTCAAAAATCGATATTTAGAGCACTACTATCTATCTATCACATGTGAAATGTTAAAATTTACTGGTTTTTTATTTGTTCCTTTGTATTTACATAACTACCTTTCTGGATGCCAAATTTGAACCTTCGAGGTCATCTGGAAGTGGTTAGAATTTGGTCTATAGGTCAGACATGTAGATTTTTGGACGTCAATATCTAAAGAACCGTTTGAGGCATATTTATGAAATTTGAAACTGATGTATATCTTGCAAGTCTCAACACATGAGCCAAATTTGAAGTGTTAATGCACAGTAGTTTTTGAGTGATGAGGAGTCAAAAGTGGCTCAAAGTGATTCGTCTAAATATACGCACGGTGTAGTCCCCTCGCTGGAACTAGGCTTAACATGCTCCCGCATGTCTAGAATGATTGCTCAATGTTGATTTAGTCGATTTTCTCCTGATGGGAACATGTAAGACAAAAATAAAATTTCCAATATTACAGACCTTCTAGAGCAGATGCCGCGAAAACTATACAATTTATAGAAAAACTTGTCCATCTCATCTGTAGCAAATTGAATAAGCTTTTTTTGGTTCATAGTAGTCATGTCACTAGGACGCATAGTTTCCGAGGATTAAGCGAAAAACCGAAAAGTGGCACCTTTAAACCCCCCTCTCCCCGCCGGCTCAAGGGCTAAGGGCGGGGACTTTTGCTATGTTCACCTCCTAACTAGTCTAAATAAAGTCCTGATGTCAGAAATTGTGTTCTACAGTTTTCCATCTATAATGCTTTATTGACTGGACTATATGTGTACTGCCGTGTTTAATTCCACAGACTGTCGCTCTTCCATGATTTGCATAATAGTATATTTTTATATAGGCAATAGTAATATAAAAATACCATATATTTAGTGATTCTTATGTCGTACTGCGTGAACAATAATAAAATTAAGAACAGTTACTTCAAAACTAAAATTTTAGAAAAATGACTATTGTTGTTATGTGTAAATCATTTTTATGACTTGTTGGTAGGTTTATTTTATATTAAGTGGACTGGGATATAAATATATACGAAAGAAATAAAATATGTAATTTTTTATGTATAACTTGAATACAGTTTTTATTATATAACCCAACCTGTTTGATATTTTTACCCTGTTTTCAGATTTTAATATAGAGAGATACTAAATCATCTCTTGAGTAAATAGTTTTAGAAAATCCAAATAGAATGCGGGTGTACTCCGTAATACACCTCGTTTGCTTTTTTGTGTGAAATATTTTTTTTACTTTATAATACATCTTGAAGAAGTGTAGAACTTATCTTGCTTGTGTTGAATAAAGAAGTTATTGTTATCTGGGGTTGATAAACATTATTTGTGGTAAATGACACTATGAATATCAATTCGAATCATAATGGCCGCATAATTAAGGTTGCACCTTTATTTGATTTGTAAATATGGATCATTATGGAGATTCAGCGTTTTCGTGTTCCATTAAATTTGAACCTAAGAACAACGTAACGTTGTGTGTTGTGTCGTGGTAGGTGTAACATCACTAGCAACGTGAATTTTTATGAAGGTAGACGAAGATCTTCACTACCCGCAAAAATGTCGCGAGACACCGTGTATGCTGTGTAACCAGTCGCTTTAGTGGTTAGACACTCTAATCTGTGACCAGTCGTATAGTAATAGTCGAAACGTCACATGTAAGTAAAATACCTTCTCATAAAAATGACGTTTTGAGACCCATAATAAATTGGTCTCGCTCGACTATTGAGAATAGTGCATTTGCAGTCTCCTACATTTGTAGGACTAATGCGTTACAAAAAATCGAGAAAAGGTACATTCTTTATCCAACACTCAGCTTCAATACATTAGCCCACATTAAATCGATAATCCTATAATAAGAAACTTGCACAAAGGAGCAAAGGTCTTTGGAGAACGTACGTAAATAAAAGTCTTTTGTTAAAACGATAATTTATTGATTTAACCGCAAATATATTAGTTTATTTACAATAGGGACGTCAACAAAATGCAAACGGAGAGCCAGCTATCTAAGTAATCATTACACTAACCAATTATTTTTTGTTATGTACCAACTATGTATTCAACATGATTTTTAACATAACTTCTCTGGCTTGGTACTTTATAATCATAATAATCTAAGTCACGACTCGATGATGTAAAATTAACTACAGTCTAATAGTCACAAAGTTCCCATGAGTTTGCCAAGATTACTACACAATACGCATACAAAAAAAATTACCACTAAGACGAAACACTTATTTTTTCAACATATTAAAAATACTGAATTTACTAAAAGAACACTGAATATTGCTTTATAACTACTTAAACGCTCTATTATGTACACTATTATACTATCAAAATCAGGATAGTCAACTTGCTCATTATAGTTTCAGTTCAAACTAAATAATTTGTTAGTTACCACAAAGCTTCAATGCAGAAGTTGCACAAAGTTATTAAATGTGCCATCTGAAAGAAAATAGATTTAAATATTTGATCGATAGGAAATCAATATTCAATAAGATGGCCAGTTGTCTTGCAGATGTTTTGGCATTTGTGGAATGAAACTGGAAGTATGTTAATGTGTTGTAATAAAAAAAGGGGTTTAAAAGAAGTTTTGAAGAAAAGTTTTCAGTGCACTGCAATGAAATTAGCCACCCTATCAAAGTAATTAAAGGAAGATAAGGATTTCATATATCATACCAGTACAATAACATCTTTACTTGAACCAGCCACATCGTGATGTCCTATTGTACTTTTATACACAGATAATATACAACACTAATATACATTCTCAGTCATTCATAATTAATTACAAAGAAGATCACTGAAACACCGCTTCGTGTGGGTACAACATAAGTAAAATACTTTTTTGTCACAACATTGGTGAATCCAAGGTACAGTTCTTACTATTATAAGTACCATTCAAGAAGATGGTCAATTAGTACAAAAATTTGCATCATGTGACAAATACTATTTTAGATACATTTCATTTCATGTAATGAAATTAGTTTTTAATCACTGGAAATTAAAATTTATCAGAAGGCACGTCTTAAAAAGGCATTAATTGCCTTTATATTTCTACATAATAAGTACAAATTAAAAAAAAACTAATTCGGCAAAAATATGAATGCAACTTTTGGCACATTAGAAAAAAATAGCTATGTAATTACAAATTTGTAACAAAATTAACTAATTTTGTTTTGAGGATCAGAAATAACGTTTCTGGCGCGTTAATACGAAAATGCATAAGGCAGTGTCAACAAAAAATGTATAATGAGCGCATCCTGCATTTGTATCCAAAACCTACAAAATTTATCATCATTATCATAAAAGATAATTTAGGAAATGGACAAAAAGTCCCAAAAACGTAAAAATAACCTTATAATATAATTACAACAACAATTTGCGGTATACTTTATGAATTTATCTAATCAATCATATCATAAGCGTATTGTATCTAACAGTTCCTATTGTGGGAGCTCCGACAAAGAGTATCAATAGTAAGTTACAAGCGAATAGGGCTTTAGATCTAGGTTCGCGGTACTGATACGTACAAACAGTACATATTCCTATTCCCGTTTTAATTTACTACTTATACATAACGAGTCAATAGCAAAGTAGCAGCCTAAAGTTCTCGCTAACGAACCAAAAAAGAGAAACTGAAATCGTAACATTTATTAATTTAAGAGCTTACAAGTGACAACTCGCACAACTAGTCGTAGGTGAGAGACTACACGATCTTTCACTACAGCAATCGGTAAACGGTGACATTTAAATTATGTACAATCAATAGTGTCAATAGAAATGCAACCCCATAAAACTAGTCAGCTTCATAAAATAAAAGTAGTCTCGGAGCGGTTCACGAGTCCGGCGGCACGTCCCACTCCGCCAACCCGCGCTCCACCAGCTCTCGGTTCAGGAATATTACTTGCTGCGAACGAAAATAGCCGTTTAAATTGTCAATAGCCGAAAACATGCTAAAGTTTCAGCGGTTGCCATGGCGATGGCCATTTGGCTAACTATTTCTAACAAGCGCTATTTTCTGACAAGCGTAGCCAACAACTTTAGGATTCAGCAGTGGACGTCACTTGAAAGAAAAGATGACCCAGTTATAGTCTGGTCCGTGAGCACGTAGAATTTTGTCCAATGACCCCAAGCTACCCATCCTTATCGCTCGCGCGTAATTATGTTGCTGTTGCGCTTGCACACTCACTGCGGGCGCCCGTCGCACAGTCGCGGCAGCAATATAATTACGCGCCAGCGATAAGGATGGGTAGCTTGGGGTCATTGGACAAAATTCTACGTGCTCAGAGACCAGACTATAGCCGAAAACATGCTTAAGTTTCGGCGATTGCTATGGCGATGGCCATTTTGCTAACTATTTCTAACGAGCGCTATTTTCCGACAAGCGTAGCCAACAACTTTAGGATTCAGCAGTGGACGTCACTTGAAAGAAAAGATGACCCAGTTATAGTCTGGTCCGTGAGCACGTAGAATTTTGTCCAATGACCCCAAGCTACCCAACCTTATCGCTCGCGCGTAATTATGTTGCTGTTGCGCTTGCACACTCACTGCGGGCGCCCGCACAGTCGCGGCAGCAATATAATTACGCGCCAGCGATAAGGATGGGTAGCTTGGGGTCATTGGACAAAATTCTACGTGCTCAGAGACCAGACTATAGCCGAAAACATGCTAAAGTTTCAGCGATTGCCATGGCGATGGCCATTTGGCTAACTATTTCTAACAAGCGCTATTTTCCGACAAGCGTAGCCAACAACTTTAGGGTTCAGCAGTGGACGTCACTTGAAAGGAAAGATGAGCCAGTTAGAGTAGGCGCACACCGTTGATTTTTCGTCGGGCAGTTCGATCAGTATGGGCATGTATGGGAGTGCGCACACTACGCCGATTCGATTTGGCCGATTCTTCATACAATTTGAAATCGGGCACAACTATCGGCCAACTAAAAATCAACGGTGTGCGCCTACTCTTAGACTGGTGATTAGGGTGGTCCTTATTCCTACGAAAAAAATTTTTTTTCTTATATTTTGCGGGGCACCACGTAACTTGAATATATACCATATGAAAGTCTTTCATTATTATTTTTTTAATTTTTAAAGGACATTTAGGGGTCGCTACCAAGGTTTGAATTTTAAGTAAAAACAAAATCTGTTTTTGTTAGATTCATTTATTTTTAAAGCCAAAGCCAAATAAAAATATTACAAAATTATTGTTGTTGTTATGAACTAAGATATTATGTACAATGTACATATTTGAATCAATTATTTTTAAGATATAAGAGTTTACTTGTTAGTATCTCGACGCGTCGGTACCATGGTCGGTACAGAAGGTTGAGGGGAGAAGGGGACAAGAAGCGATTGTCTATTCTATTTATGCGATGTTCATTTGCACGTAAAATGTGATATAAACACTTAAATAAAACATTTATGAAACCATGATTTAAGATTTTCAAAGCTTTTGTAAATATTTTGACAGCTGGTCGACCTCTAAATCTTAACTAAAAAAAAAAACAAAAAAAAGCTAATTTCATATTTAGAGGTATATAATCGAATGAGAAAGTGCCCCAGGGATAATTCAAAAGTCGAAAAATAAGGACCACCCTACTGGTGATACTGACCTGCGGGTTAAGTGTGAGGTAGAGGTGGACGAGCGGCAGGCCCGCCTCGTCGTAGCCGGCCACCTGCGCGTGCAGCAGCTGCCCGGCGGTGAGCCCGGCCATGATGCGGAGCGCCTCGCCGCTCCACTCCGCTTCTGTGGGGGAAAACGGAAAAAGGGAAAATGAACTTTCATTTTAGACCAGGGTTCGGAAGGATAATATCAATGATAATTATCATGACAATTATCTTGATAATAACAGATGGATAATTATCGGTTGATAATATAAAAAAATTAGCTTGTGAAAATATAAATATACAGGGTGTTAGGTAAATGGGTATATGAGCCGACACTAGCCCATGTTAACATGGTCATATAAATGGTATGGTGAAGTCAGAAAATTAATATCTTCATTTTAAATATTTTATTTTTCATACAAATCGGATTTTATATAATTTATTTTGTATGAAAATAAAATAAAAAAAATGATAATATCAAATTTCTGACTTCACCATACCATTTATATGCCTGTACAATATAATATAATATAAATATCCTTGGACATTTTACACTGCGCTTCTAGTCCCAAACTAAGCAAAGCTTGTACTATGGGTACTAGATAACGGATATAAACATACTTAAATACTTTTTTTTTGTAAATACAAACATATTATACATATATAGAAAACACCCAGTCCAATACAAACAAATATGTTCATGCACACAAATGTTTGTACTGTGCGGGAATCGAACCCGCAACCCCCGGAATAGTAGTCCGTTTCGAACCACTACACCAAACGGCCGACTAAATGAACTGTATTCGAAGTTTTCGAACGTGTATTTCCGCACTTGTTTCTAGTGGTGGGTGTTAATCAACATAGATAGTTATAAAACCTATGTATTTAGCTCCACAATGATCACTAGTTATCTAGGGTCAAAATATTTATCTATTTTCTAAGCTTTATGCGACTAGCGATGGATAACTTGACAACAAAAAGCAACCAAAAACATAAAGCAACATTTGGAATCAGAATTTCTTATGAAACAATATGACAAATGTTTCTTATACTGTTGATAATTATCGGATAATTCATCATGAAGCGTAATTATCGGATAATAATCGAACCCTGTTTTAGAATAGTGACCCGCCCCGGCTTTGCACGGGTGCTAAGTATACATATTTTATAAACCTTCCTTTTGAATCACTCTATCTAAAAAAACCGCATCAAAATCCATTGCGTAGTTTTAAAGATCTAAGCATACATAGGGACAGACAAAGCGACTGTTTTATACTATGTAGATTGTGATATACTTCGTTATTTTATGGGATAACGAATATGAAAGATAACATGTCACTGTAAAATTGTGTATTCCATCAGATTATAATCTGACATAGTTAGTTTACAATCTAACCTACCCCACTGTTTACGATCTCTGCTTCGTTAGTCTGTGGGATAACAAACATGATGATAGCCCAAACTTACTAATAATTCGTTATACATGTTATATGGGTCGCACATTTTTTAGTGCTGAACAAAGCAGGTATTTGACTGCAATCACATTCGGCCGTGTTGGTGGAGTTATGGGAATTTTTAACTTCAACCTTTAGGTTGAAGCTAAAAACTAGCCAAGATCTTTAGATCTTGGCTAGTTTTTGAACTTCACGAGTTCGAAACGCTTTTCATGATTATCAAAATCAGGATCCATGATTCCATGTAAAGGATCTCATAAAAAAGGAGGTCTCTAGTCGACTCGACCTTGATAAATAGATGTTAAACATAATTTGACATTCCTTCCTATATGAAAGATTTAATTATGCACTTTAATCATATGATCCTAATTAAACTACACTGCAATAGTATAATTGAAAAGAAAAAAAAAACATTACAAAATTACAAGTAGGTACTCACCATGCACTTAAATCATAATGGATTGCAAGTGGATTAATGATAATTTAAAAGCAATTGTTGATGATTGGATATAATTAAAATAATCATTCAATTAATTGAAGGGAAAACATTTACAATGTAAAGTGATAATAATTAAATTGCAATTGTTTCGTCATTAATTGTATTACGTCCAAAAAGCAGATGTGAAAAAAACTAAATGGGAAGAAAGCGGGAAGATGGAGCAAGCGAAAAATAATGTGAATCAATTAACCATTATTTGCTGGTTTCACGAAGGCCAGAAGGGCTTCTGTTGCCTGGAAGGGCAGGGTCATGAAATCTGAACGGATCTGTTTGAGCTGGTCGTTGTCCACGGTGAGGTAGCCCCCGAAGTCGACCAGCTTCACCACAGACGTGTCATTCTCCTCCGACGTGGAGATCACCTGCGCGCGGTACCAGTTGTTCTCTGTCGGCGCCGCGCATATGGAGCCCTCTGTAAAACGAAACATTATTATTAGCATTTGATTGTAAAAAAGACTGAATCTTCTCATTTGTCTAAGGAAAATAACAAAGAAACTTAAAATTCAATAATAAAAACAAATGTTTCATAATATGCAAATTTTCACCAAAAGTTATAAAATAATCATATTAGCATAAATTGTAAATTAGCTTTAACCTATTTCTGTAAGGTCATATTATTTTAATATGTATTTTGCGAATGCCAAACCAGTACACATCGGCCGCAAGATACTTTGGTACCTTGGAAAAAATGCTCTCATTAAGTTGAAAGATCGAGTAATGACGGCGTAAAACCGGTTTACGAAAGTTACCTTTAACAGGGCGCGGTAAAGCCGGCACATCCGGATTTTGGTAGGTGGCGGCCATGAGGCGGTGCAGTGCGTGCAGAGAGGGGAAGGTGGGGTGCAGGGGCTGCTGCAGGAAGAAGTGCCCCGCGCTCACGAGGCACGTCATTATGGTGTCGTTGTTCACCGATTCCACAAGCTGCAACTGACAAGTTCAGCATAAATGTCCACACGCTTAACCATGTAAACCCATACTGTTTGAGTTACATCAAAAAAATACAAAATAATGTGCACCATAATAAATGTAACGTGTGGTTTTGGATACGACAAAGATAAAATCGAAAACTCACTTGAAGGAACTCTGGTACGAGAGGAGCCAGCTTTTGATATAGCTCAGCACTGATTTCCTGAAGTGAGAAGTTAGGAAATCTCTTTTCAGGGAATTTCTCCTTGATCATTTCTAATGCTGCTTCAATTTCACTCTGAGTTCCTGAAATCAGAACATAAGTATTATAAATGGTTCAAATAAAAATGTGACAAATTAAGAAAGAAGGAGATTATTTTACCTTCAACTGCACAAATCTTTTGCTTGACAGAATCAGGATGTCTCCTAACATACACACTTGCACCAGTTTTAGCCTTAATTTGGGTGACAAAGGACCCATGTTTTCCTATTAGCAGACCAACCAGGGTCTGTGGTATAATAAATTGATGAATTCTAAGCCCTGCATCTGAGGGAACCATGTTTAAATTTGCTGGAGGTGGGCTAGCCGCCTCTGAGCATCCTTTTCCACTGTCACTTGAACCCTAAAACACAAATACCAGAAAATGAATGAATTAGCACTATGGTTATGCTATGATATTATAAAAACATATAAATATAATAATGTCATTCATGTAGCCTTGACTGGAACTGAGAAGGTTGGGTTAAATGTTAAAGCAACAAAGCTGATAAGCCAGGTAGATTTATATGCATAATTACCTCACTGTGGTTATCTGAAAAGTGACACATTGATGGACTAGCTAGCATTGGGTCCACTGGACTGTGATTGGCAGAATCTCTTTCTGAGATACGTCTTGTTTGTGCTGCTGAGAATCTATTTTCACTGTCATTACTATCACTAGGTTCATCAACAACATTATTATTATTATTCATATTTAATTCTTCTGTATCTGCTACTGTACTGTCGTCAGTAGTGTTGACTTCAGATGCAGCAGTATCTAGTTTTGTACTATTCTGTTGTGAATATTCTGCTTCCAGTTCATCTGTAATACTATCCTTAGAAATCACAACTTTTGCATCAATTTCATTGGTTTTTATAGAACAAGCATCAACATCATTCTTATTGTAAGTATTTTCTGTTTCAAGTGATGAAAATAAGTTGGAAGGGGTTTCTTTGATGACAAATGAAGACTCCATTTTACAACTGTTAGCAACTAAGCTTTGGGTACCAGTCCCAAAAGACATCCTCTTTTCCTTTTCAAGGGATTTTTTCCTTATGATTTTTTCTATCTCTATATCTACTTCTTCATCAGTAAGTTGTAAGGGCGATGATCGTTGAGAACCACTACCATTAGGGACAATGTCAATTGGAGCGGATTTAATGATTGAGCGGTCTGTTTTGCCACACGGGGAAATTCTCATAGCCTGAGCCTCTGCATTCAAAACTTCAGCTAATTCTTCTTTTAAGCTTTTTAGTCTTTCTCTTCCACCAGGGTCAGACTTGGCATACTCCCTCTTTTTTCGGAACCAGAAAATTCCCAATAAAACTGCTATTGATGGGACAGACCACATAAGTAGTTGACGACAAGGTGCCATTGTAAAAAGCCACTTTTACCAATAATCTACAACAAAATAAACTACATGTTATCACCTATGAAAAACACAACCTAATCTTATTATAATAAAAAGTAGACTAATTGGTGCTTTATCAGTCATGTTTGTAAATAGCTACCTAAACCAGCCTTATTTTGATAACTATAAAATTGTTACTGAACATTTAAAATTTTCAGGTAAATTACACAAGGATAATAAAAGCTTGTAAAAAGAAACTTTATGTAACTTACTTCCTAAGCATTTATCAATATAAATAAAAATTTAAGCTATTTCTTTTTCAAATAAAGCAAAGGAAAACCTAAGATATTGAACACTATAAATACTTATTAATGACTTGTAGGTATAATAAACTGCCGGTAATTATTAAATAATATTTAGTTTTTGATGTATTTTTTTTATGAATTAAAACATAACTAAGAAACAAAATAAATAAATAAAACAAAAAACCATACAGCCCTAATTTAAAAAGAAATCAACACAGTTATAATTACTGTAGTAAATATTAAATTAAATTGTTTAACTTACTAACCAGAAACGCACAAATTAATTAAAATAAAAGTATTTATAATTATTTTTTAAATGTACTAGGTATTTACTCACAAAGCACATGTCTAAATAATTCTGTCACAGTACTGTAAACTCTGCAAATTTTGATAATTTTAGATAAGTAATTGACCTACTTACTGTGGGCCATTCCATTATATCAGATTGTTTTTTATCACAGTTTATCATTAGTTACTAACGCAAGTAGGTTAATGTCCTTGCAAAAATGCAGACTAAACTAAATACACTTTTATGAAAGTCCTAACGAGATGTACTTGTATGTCTAACTTTCAGGTTAGATCAGTATGTTGTAGTAATTGTGCAGTAAAAATCCAGATCACCGCTTAGCGAAAACCGCTTGAGGCAAGCATGGTCCACAAAGTACAATCACCGCGTTTGATCACAATCACTTCCCCAGACACTTATACGAAACAAATATAATTTTAGCAATGCTTGAAATATAAAAATAAAATAGACACGTGTTCTTAGTTTTTTCGACACACAAAACGTACTACTTCGTTGAGGGTCACGAGCAATGTGCGGAAACCTTCACATCCAACACGTAAGCAAATGTGATGTGATTACAAAATGAAAGGTTACGCAATTTTAAATAAGTCACAGAGGCTCTCAAAATGTGATAGAATAATGTTGTTTAAATTATGGTATGTATTTGTTTAGGTGCTACAGTTGTAGCATCATGACCTACGAGGCTACCGACTAAACCCCATGATGAACTAAATGATGTGTATCATTGCCGGCTTATCCCAAGAACGTACTTACTTAGATTTCCAATAAATGTTGATCGCACTTTTAGGAGAGCAATTGAAAACAATCCAAAAAACTGAATAACTGATATTACTACCAAATTTCGCCAAAATGAATCCAACAATCCACGTGCTCACAATGTTTTCGAAGCACAACAAAATTCAACATGGCGCTGGCAAGTTGGCAACATTTAAAAAAAAAGTGTTTTACAACCATAGACAAGTTTGAACAATGAAGCTAAAAAAACGTCAAAATTCAAAGATGGACTCGAGCGGGTATTGGTTAATTTTTAGAAAGTAGTTATCAAATATTGTAGAACACACTCGATTTTCGCAGAGATAATACTTTACGAATTTGCATACAAAGTAAAGCTATGCTACGCTGGAGCGTACGCGCCCGCTCCATCGTTTTACTTTGTCTGCGTTTCCTATAAATGACAGGCAGCGCACAGATTGACAGGGGGGCGCCACCATCACCACCATTGAACTTTAAAGTTTCCAACTGGCAAAAATCGGAACCTGCGATCCAGTATTGACGGTGGCGCCCCCTATCAATGTCACAGGTGGGCAGTGTTGCCAACCCCAGCATAGAGCCAAACTGTAGCTTTTCTCAAAAAAAACTGTAATATCAAATTAAAAAACAGTAAATCTACAGCTGAATATTTTTATCATTGAATGATGTTAAAAACAATGATATTATAGAACTATAGATATGTTACGTTCATAGAAATTACGATTTGAATCCGTGCCGAGCTATTCCAAATTGCACACATTGACAAATGTAACTGATAAGTGAAACAAAAGATACGAAATAGCACGCAAATGAAAGAGATAGCTATAGTTTTAACGATTCTGCACTAACTAATCTATGTCCGCAGCGCACGCATCCTTATCGCTCTAACGTCAAAACAAGATCGCTTTCTCTTTCTTAACTTGAACATGGCGCATGGCGTCTTGATTGTTTGCATAAATAATTGAAAATATAAATACTGAATAATTTGTGGTATGGTAATAATTTGCATAATCACATGTGGTAAGAGATCCCTTGTATTTTGTTTACTTTAGAGTCATAATTGGTACACTTTCGAAACATACACGATGGCATTTTTTATTTATTTTGGTAAGAACACAGGAACTTACGGTGTGGTACGCACGCGATTGCGCACGACGCAGGCCACACGAAGACTAAACACAAGACGTCCCAATTGGGACGTATTTGAGTATTCACAGCGCGAGCGCTTATAACATATCTGCTTTTGTTTTTATATAATATCATTGGTTAAAAAATATAATAAATTTTAGAAAGGCAATTAAAAACAAGAAAATTCATGTGATTCTCGATTCCCTAGTAAGAAAAATAGAATAGAATGTCGGTAAAACGGACATCGACCGAAACAATCTGCGACTGTCCACTACTAACGCCATCTATTAAATCGACTGATGACTACTACCTCAGGTTCGATGATAGTTAGCTGCTTTTACACTGCGCGGTGTAAAAGCAGCAAACTATCATCAATCAAGTCAAAAAAACAGTGGGGTGGGGTCCCCACCGTGGGGATGAAAAATGAATGAATTTTTATCCCCACTCCTCTGTTTTTTTTACTTGAATCGGCTAATTTCCGCATAGTGTAAATCGGCCAGTTGGTTTTACTGAAGTTGACTTAATGCACGGACTACCACGTAGCAAATAAAGGTGGCGCTAGAATCATAAGCACAAAACTGTAGATTTCGAGGCCTAAACTAAAAACTGACAGAATTTCCAAGAAACTGTAGATCTACAGTTAAAACTGTAGGGTTGGCTACACTGCGGGTGGGACAGTTCGTTGTATGTATTACTTTTCTCTATGGTTGTAGTTCATCTTGGGCAGCAGAGCCCCGATTACGGTCATTTTTATTTTTAACATCTCCAATCCAGACGCGCTTCATCGATTCTGCGATACGTTTGGTCAAAACACAAAAAAAAAAACAGCGTACGTCAGCTGTTTTGACCAATCGTATCGCAGAATCGATGAAGCGCGTCTGGATTGGAGACGTTAAAAATTACCGTAATCGGGGCTCTGCATTGGGCTTAGGTTTGGGTTCGACTTCTCGATAGATTTTTCTTTGCAACCGATTGTATTGGTTAAATTAATGAAAAATAAGGGTTCTTGTCTACGGACTACGGAACCCTAAAAAAGAGAATTTATACAAAAAAAAATTGTTCCCCAATGTAAATTTAATATTCTAAAAATTGGTTCTAAATTATAACTTTCACTGGCTACGTAATTTAATTCAGGTTACCTATGAGAAAGAAACTATGATACCCTTTTATGTTACATAGTACCTACTTGTAATTTTTTAAAAGCCCTAGATAAAGTTATTCTTATTAAAATAAAGACAACTTGATGCAGCTACAGACATCAAGAAAAGAATATCTCAAATGGATACATTTTTCTGTAATGTGTATTGTATGTAATTTTGTTATTGAGCACTAATATTGTAAACATCTTGATGCTGATATAGGTAGGTACTGAGACATAAGTACCAAAATAAAATTCTGAGTTCAAAATAGCTATAGTTCATGCCAATACAAATTGGCAATCTTGCAAAGAAAAATAAGCCTGAGTAACACTGACCCTGAATGGCCTAGGTCTCCTAGTAAGTATGGTAATGTTGAGAAAGTTCTTGTAATCTTAATCCAGCACTGCACTCATGGCATTGCATAATAGTGTGCAAAACCATTTTTGTCAAACCCACCTGTAATTATCATAATATTGAAGTGACCACTGCTTCACCACAGCAGCGAATAATAGGTTTTGGTAGATGTCTTTTGTGTTTAATTTTTTTGTATCCAGTGTAAGACGCACTGCAAAAAAAAACCTAGTGGTATGATGGAACCTAAAACACTTATTACACTTCATCTGTGCACAATGGCAGAGCTTATAGGAATTAGTTGCTTAAAATAAAAGGATCAAACAAATAATAATGTACATTTGACAGTATGTATTTTTAATTTATATACATTCCTTATTTTTTTAAGGTTCTAAAATGGTTATGAGAAGAACAATTTTATTCAAGGAATGTTGCACAATTGGACTATTAAATTAGTAATTTTATGATATTAATATTCATCTTCCAATGATACATAGAAACTTGTGTTATGAACACTTACAATTTGGAGCAATACTGAGGGTGAATATGGATTCGGGTGTATTACAATCAAGTTTAGTATAGATTTTGAGAACTAAACTTTACAAAGATCACAAAGTCATGTTTATTTATAACAGCAAAATAAATTTACACAGACTTACGGTAAAAATTATAAATATAGCTAAGTTTAGATATTATCGACTGCATCTGCTTCATCTTCTGAACTGACTTCATCTCCGAATTCAATGTCCTCGTCCAGACCATCCACAGAATATACCACTGTCTCATTGATGCGCACTGTCTCTGGGAACTCTCCATAGGTCTTCAGATTCCTTGCTTCATCTGGAGTATACTTTAGGATGACATCTGCCTTCGCGTCTTGGTAGTCTCGCAAACCGATTAAGATAATATCTCCTTGATTTATCCATACCTTTTTTCTTAGCTTTCCTCGAATATGACACAGACGTTTTATGCCATCAAAGCACATGGCCTCCAAGCGGCCATTACCGAGCATCTTTGTGACTTGGGCGTACTCTTGTCCGTCTTCTTTGAAGACCAACTCACGTTTCTCTGTTTCATTTTCGTTCTTTCCTCTCCTCCTGTTTTTACCTCCTTTTCCTTTATTTTTCGGCATAATTTATATAATCTTGAGTACAAACATATACAATTATCTACGAAAACCTCATGAAGTTTTTGGTGGAGTCGCGTTTGACGTTTGACAAGTCGACGACTAAAGATTGTCTATGATTTTCTGATGACACGACAAAGTTTTTTTTATAATATAACTGGCATTGGAATTAATAATTTGACCTTTATCGCTTGTCGCAGCGATCTACCTGCACTCGACGATTTAATATCGCAATTTCTTTTGTGTTCTCAATTAATGTATGATTTGCCTTTGTGAATCAGCTGTGGGTCTAGTCAAAATACCATCGCAAACCAATAGGAAGTTTTCACTAATGTCAGTCGCCGCGTCACCAGTAATTCGATTCGATCGGAAAATGGCAGCCAAAATGCACATTGAACCACCAACGACGCGGCGATATAAAAGTTCATTCAAAATCGAATAAAAGTTAGAAAATGTCTATGACTTTGCGATTGTTTTTACTTTTTTTAGCTTTTTTTTTTTTAATTTGTTTCTTCCTTCTTTCTGCTCTCTGTTTACGTCTATGCTTCGCCGTCAAAGTAACTGTCAAAACGACATCGCGATTAGAGATGGGTAGTGGGTAAAAACCCATTTCACCCGATTGGGTTTAAACCGGGTGTTTTGGGTTAAAACCCGGTTTTTACCCATTATCACCCATTCTGGCGGGTGAAAACAAAAATAGCGTTTTTTTTAAGTGAGAAGTGGTATTTGTTGCTAAGGGGGCGTTCTAGTGTTACGTAATGCAATCTGGGGGGAGAGGAGGTCTTGAAAAACGTTACAATGCGTTACAGTGGCGGAAGGGCGGTCGATTTCAAGTTTTTAAGCAGAAGTACTTTGTAGTTGGTGTTGTTATTTGTAACTTTATACCGTAATGTCATCAAAGAGAGTGTTTGGCATCTTTGGCATCCCCCCCTCCATGTCCTTGCCATGATCACAAATTATTGTGTTCCTACTAAATTTCTTTTAAATCGGTTCAACGATTCTTGAAATAACACCATTTTATAAAATAATTGGTCACATCATCATAACG